GTCGTCACTCGCGAGCGATTCTCGGGGGAAGGGATGCTGAGAGAGGCTGAGGTGGAGATAGTAAGTGGGAAAGCGAGAACGGATGAAGTTAGAGTGAGGAAAGCGAGCACGCGAGAAGAGGGAGAGGGAGAAGAGAGAGAGAGATGGAGAGAGAGAGAGGGAGAGAAGAGAGAGTGAGAGAGAGGAGACGAGAGGAAGACCAGACGAGCAGAGAGTAACAGTAGAAGAAATTAGATGAAGACGACAGAGAGGAGAAAGAGCGACGGCAAGAGAGAGGGGGAGAGAGAGAGAGAGAGATGAGAGAGAGGGAGAGAGAGCGAGGGAGAGAGGAGAAGAGAGAGATGGAGAGAGAGTGAAGAAGGGAGAGAGGGAGAGAGAGAGATAGACGGAGAAGATGAGAGAGATGAGAGAGAGAGAGAGAACAAAGACGAGAGAGACGAGAAGGAGCAGAGAGAGAGAAGAAGAGAGGAGGAGAGGAGAAGGAAAGGATGAGAGGATGAGCGACAGAGGAGAGAGAGAACGAGGAGCGAGATGAGCGCGGTGGGCCAAGAGCCATGAGAAGAGAAGAGAGGAGAGAGAGAGAGACTCGCGCCTGCGAGAGAGAGAGAGAGAGAGAGAGGAGAGGGGCGACCGAGAGAGAGAGAAGAGAAGAGAGCGAGACGAGGCGCGGAAGAGAGAGAGAGCTGCAGAGAGCGCCGGAGAGAGAGAGAGGGAAGAGAGAGACGAATCTGAGAGAGCAGCGAATGAGAGAGATGAGAGAGGAGAGAGACAGAGAGAGAGAAGAGAGAGAGAGAGAGAAAAGAGAAGAGAGAGAGATGAGAGAGACTGAGAGAGAGAGAGAGACAGAGAGAGAGAGGAGAGAGAGAGAAGAGAGAGGAGAGAAAGAAGAAGAACAGAGAGGCAGTTTCTTACTTCCTTACCCTCCCCCACCCCCGGTGTGATCCTCTAGGGCAGGAGCTCCGGGGAAGGCGGGGTGATGTGTACGTGCGTGAGAGCGCAGCAGGGTGGCATAGAAATGGCTTACACACACTTTTCCTGCCACGCGTCGTCGCCGCTTGTAAGAGCGTAAGCGATATCGTGCCGCGCAACTGACGATGCGAAAGCAGCGTGTACATCGTATAGTCTCAGTATTTCATTAATCGCCTACACACACAACACACACGCACGCTACGCCACGCAACACACACACACACACACACATCACACACACACACACGCGACGCGCCGCACACAACAAACACACACACCACACGCACGTACCACTGCGCACGCACGCAGCGCACGCACACACAGCAAACACGCACGGCACGTGATTAGCATCGCACGCACGCACGCACACAACACCACACACAAAGACGCACGCAGCGCACACATTGAGTTGATGTACGCAGCCGCTCGGTCGGATACGCAAAACCGCGGAGTATATTTTATCGGCCGCGGCGGCCCCTGGCGAGCGCGGCCGGCAATTTCCAAACGTCCCTCGGCGGCAGGCAGCTTTGTCGAAATGCAGATTCAGCCGCAGCCAACAGCCGCCGCAGAATGCTAGCAACAGCAGCAGCAGTAGCCAGCAGTAGATCGCAGCAGCAGCAGCGAGCAGCAGCGTAGCAGCAGTAGCCACAGCAACAGCAGCACTGAGCAGCAGTAGCAGGTAGTAGTAGCAGCCGCAGCAAGTAGCAGCAGCAGCATCAGCAGACAGCAGCAGCCAGCAGCAGTAGAGCAGTAGCAGCAGTAAGCAGCAGCAGCATCAGCAGCAGAGCAGCAGCACAGTAAGCAGCAGTTAGCAGCGAGTAAGCGCACATAGCAGCAAGTAACCAGCAACACAACAACGCAGCTGCAACAGCAGCACAAACGCGGACGACGGACCTACGACGATAACACGCAGCGACACAACAACAACAACAACAACAACAACAACAACAGCAGCAGCAGCAAATGCTGCTACCGCGCGAGGTATGTTTGGAAAAACCTTGGCTGATTAACCGAGTTTCTTTTGCGGGCGCGCGGGCTCGTATGTGAGCACTGAGCTGCTCAGTGCGTCTATAAATTATATAATACAATTACTATCACGCATTACATACCAGCGCACGCTGTCGGATATTCCGCCTGTATATATACTGTACGGCATATGCATCCTTGACGATTTTTTTTTTATCTTATTGCATATTACATGTGGGAATTCATAAGTAGTGAATTGCATGCAATGCGGCGATGATGTGCGCTGTGCGCTGACACGCACAGCGCACACACAGCGCACCGTACATACATACATACAGTCTGCGATCTTCTCTCATGCCTCCCCTGCCTCCCTCCGCTCCTCCTCAGGCAGCCCAATCAGTTGACTCTTCCCCCCGCGGAGACCCCTTCACTGTATCACAGACACCAACCACCGTGAAAATCTGTGGTATAGTAGCTAGCTAAGCGTGCGGTGCCCTGCGACTTTAGGCGAATAAGCAGAGCTGTGCGTATTAATTACTTGAACTATGGGCCGTTCGGCCAGAACTGGTTTTGGGCTTTTATAGGGCGGCGGATACTGTCGCCAGCCGGCGGGTAGCGACCCGACCGAGCGACCAGCAGCAGCAGCCAGCAGCCGCTGGATTTGCGCTGCGCGAATATAACGGTAAACCCACCCCCACACACACACACACCACAAAGCACCCCCACCCCTCCCATCCATCACGGCGGCTGGTCGCCATTACGTATTTTTTTCTTCATCGCAGGCTGGAGCATTGCATTTTTAATACGAACGGTGGTAGCGAACTCGAGGAATGGAGAGAGGTGAGAGGAGGCGCAAAAAGCAGCGGGCGGTGGAGAAGAGAAATGCGGAAGGGAACGAGAGAGAGAGAGAAGACAGTGCGTGGCGAAAGAGAGAGAGAGAGAGAGCGTGCCAGAGAGAGGAGAAACAGTGGAGGAAAAGAGAGAGAAGAGCGTAAACGATCGAGACAGAGAGGTGCACGAGAGAGACAAGAGATTACTGTTTAAGAAACGAGAAGCCGAAAGCGAGAAGGAGATAGCCGAGGATAAGATCAAGAGCTAATAATAATACCTATAACATAGGTAATATAATAGGTATTTAATTATTATATCTTGATAAGATACATGACAGGCGGTGAAGCAATCACAGCGCTCCTCCCCTCCCGCCCCGCGGGACCTCTCCCCTTCTCCCGCCCGCCTCGGGGTGGCCTCTCCTTCGCCCAGGACCTCCTCCCCTCCGATCACCCCGCCCGGGGACCTTTCTCTAATACACCCTCACCCGCCCCAGGGACCTCATTCGTAGTGCCGCTCCACCCCTGCACGCTCTGGGACTCCTCCCCCTCCCGCCACCCCGCCCCGGGCGACTCCTCCCAAGTGGCCGCCACCGCCGCCCCGGGCGACTCTCCCCCCTCCGCGCACAACCCACCCTGGCGGGACTCGCTCCCAAGTCCCGCCCACCCGCCTCCGTAGGTCCTCCTCCTCTGGCCACCACCGCCCCGGCGCGCGACTCTCCCTTCCTACGACCCCCGGGGACCTGCACCTGCCCGCGGGGACGCGAACCTACATTTCTGCGGGTGAGCAATCGTAGGCTTCTCCTTCGCAAATCGAGACCCGCACCCTCCGAATCAAGATGATGCAAGGCTGTGTGGAGGCCAGTAGAGCTGACTACGGACGCACGCACGACCACTGACGACCTGTTGACAACGACCGTCGCTTCCCACTGGTGGGCAGGCGCCGGCGCAGAAGAGAGAAGATGCGCGCGTGAGAGGGAAGGGGTAAGGGAGGAGATTAAGAGAATGCGAGAGGGTGAAGAAGAGAGAGAGGCGAGGAAGGAGAGAAGAAGAGCGCTGCGAGGGAGGGTAAGGGAGGAAGGAGGAAAGAGAGAGAGTAAGGACTGGGGGAGAAAGACGCGAGGAGAGAGAGAGGCAAGAGAGAAGGAGAGAGGAGAGAGAGAGAGAGAGAGAGACCGAGGGGAGGAGACGAGAGAGAGAGAGACGAGAGGGAAAGTGATGAGAGAGATGAGAGACGACGAGCAGCACGGAGACGAGGGACGAGAGAGGAGACGGAAGAAGGGAGGAGAAACAGACAAGACGACAAGTGGAGAGAGAGGAGAGCAGAGAGGAAGAGAGGGAGAGACGAGGAACATTCGCGTGTATTTGTTGTACGCACACGCACGCCGCACACGTACCCGGCACACAAGGTAGGTAGGCAGGCAGGCAGCTCAACAAAGAACTGCTGAGTCAGACTGCTGGCCCACAGCGCAAGCGACGGAGTTGCTGTACTAGTGTACCATGACCAGCCAAGCAGCGAGACAGACAAACAGCCCGCCAGCGTCCCGCTCCCTCCACTGGCTCCAGTGAGGTAACCACCCAGGCTGCTAGCTCTGCAGCTGTTTAGCCATCCTCTTGCCCTATGACACCAATACTTGCGGGCCCAGCAGCAGCGGCCAGCGTGCGTGGGGAGACACCGGCGCTCCCTCCTCCCCCTCCCCTCCCCCTGCGCTCCCTCCTCCCTGACAAGCAAATGCTATTAGAGGGCAGACATTGACAGAGCAGGGGGAAGAAGTAGCTCTGGAACTGTGGCAGAGCGAAGAGCTATAGTTCTAGAGCTAGGGGAAAAGTGAAAGAGCGCGAGAGATTTGCAGAAGAGAGAAAAAGAGATGGCTGCGAGGAGAGCGGAAGTAAGAGAGGCATGTAGGAAAAGAGATAAAGATACAGCGTAAGGGATGATGGGGATGGCATTATGAAGGGTGAGAATGGTATGGACACACATACCGGATTATTTGCGTTTCTTACATTTGTTTTTTATAATGAATTCATCCTTTTTTGTTGTGCACAACTGGAGCAGAAAGAATGGCCCCCAAGTAATCAGGTTTTTTGATCGGACATGCCCCATATAGCTGTCCCCCATCTCACCATCACACCTACGTATACCCTTCTTTATACGCTCTTGATATATATATATACATTGACTTCTCCATGTTGCACTGTTCACCATTCTGTACACAGCGAACGTAGATTGGAAATTACCTTTTTCTGGTCAAGCTCGTGGGGTCCATGGGATAACACCTTATCCACAGCTTCCGGGTTTCCGTAGGTAACGAATCCAAAGCCCCTGCAGAAGAGAAAGACGGAAGTAGGTGAGGAAACCATACAGGGTACATCGGTAGTCAGCGTGCGAGCCCCCCCATCATCCAACAATCCATCAACGCAAATACACGGGCGTTCGCGAACAGCTAGTCAGTGTTCGTAAATCACTAACGCCACGCACGCACGCCCGCCCGCACGCACGCACGAGGCCGTATCGCGTCAAATTCGAGTTGGATCGCTTTGTGGAAAATGTCGCCCCGTCTTTTTGCGGACGAATAACGGCAGTTTCGCTGCGATGCGTGTGCGTGCACACAGCAGTAGATGAACCAACCATATGCGTGCGCAGTGTGTGTGGGAAGCGCTTGTTAATAGCTTCCCATGCTGAAAATACAAGCACACTGACGGGAAACAGCACACACGTAGTCTCAGTATTTCATAACGCCCACCACACACACGCACGCACGCGTGCACACACACACGCACGCACGCGTGCACACACACACACGCACGCGTGCACACACACACACCAACTCCTATCTACCTTACAGGCCCACCACACACACACACGCACGCACGCACGCACGCTCACACGCACGCACACACACACGCACGCACGCACGCGCGCACACACGCACGCACGCACGCACACACACGTACGCACGCGCGCATTAACCTCAATCTACTTCTAACCCCCATCCACATTCACACCTACTACCTATTTCACAGGCCCACGCACACACATACACACACGCACGCACGCACGCACGCACACACACACACACACAGCAACTCATATATA